CACCCGCTCCCAGGCTGTAGCGCCAGGTCGTTTCTAAGAACAGACTGTTTCAGGGACCTTGAAATCAGAGGCAGCGCTAGTTAAGCCTGGAACTCTATCTCGGAAATCCCAGCAACCCGCGAGCTAGCCCAGGCACAGCATCCTCAGGTAGGAAGCATTACAATGTTGGAGTAAAAAGTCTGGTCTTTGTTTTGTTTTTTCTTCCCTACATAATTCCTTGTACCCCCTTCAGCCTCTCTCACCTCCCAAGTTGTTCTCTATGTGAATGTCCAGTATTTGTTTTTATCATTCTGATTTGCTCTACTACACACTCCCTCCATCTTGTTGAAAATGGCTGCATTTCATCCTTTCTTATGGCTCCATAGTACTCTGTGATGTGGATATACCATGTCTTCTGGATCCAATTGTCTGTCAGTGGCTATTTAGGCTGCTTCCATGTCCTAGCTATTATATATAATGCTGTGATGAACATTGTGGAACATACAGAGTTTTGTGCTGATGGTTCATGTTCTGTGGATAGATTTATTTATACAAGAACTGGGGTACAGTCAGAGGCGCTGGAGGGTGAGAGAATTCACCAGAGACAGAGCGGGGAGCAGAACAGGCAGACAGACCAAAGACACTGCTGAGGGGAGCAGCTGGCGAGGCAGGAGAGGTCTGCTGCACCATGTGGGTTTCCCCCTGGCCAGCTGGGAATAAAACCCTTACTGCAGAGGCTGTGGACAGCTTCACAGCGCTTCACTCAACCCGCTGCGCCACCGAGGAGGACCCCATTTTTAGTTTTTTTGTCAGGTAAATCCAAATAGAAAAGCCATTGAAGATGCTCTGCCCAGATCCCAGCTTTGCCACTCTCCACTTATGATCTTGGACAAGTCACGTAACTTCTCTGTGCCTCAATTTTCCCATCTGTAAGATGGGCATGATGATAGTCATGAAGATCAAATAAGTTCACATACATAAACTGCTTACATAAGTTTAAAGCTTTCAATGCCTGTTTGTTCTTTATTGGTTCTTCCTTCCATTGGGTCAGCTTAGCACCTCCAGGTCTCCCCAAGGGCTACACAGATGCTTCAACCATCTGGAGGCTATGCTGCCATGGGGACACTTGTCACAGGGGATTGCACTGCTAATCGCCCTTCCCCACCAGAGTGTGAGCATCTTAAGGGCAGGGCCAAGGCTTATTCATGGTTGTAGCCCTAGCACCTGGCATAGTCTTACACCCACCCCCCCAAAAATGGTAGCTTAGGGAAGGTCTTTGAATTAAGCTCTTTAAGATTTCCTTGCTTATACATATAAAAATCCCCTTAATTTTGAGCTCAGGGGTCAGTCATGGAGAGCACCACTCTTGACCCCAATGATGTCTGCACCAGAGATTTGCCATGCACTAGGAAGAAAAACAGTGACAGCTGACAGACACCCATTTTTATGTAAAGTGCTTGAGAAATAGATGGTCTAAAAGAGCTTGGGCATGAAAGGACAAATATGCCCCCTTCAAGATGCCCACATCTTAATCCCCAGGGACTTTGCAGATGTGGTTAAACTAAGTATCCTGAGCTGGGTGATTATCCTAGATGATCCAGGCGGGGCCAATGCCATCACAAGTGTCATTTTAAGAGGGGTACAGGGGTATCAGAGAGAGAGAGAGAGAGAGAGAGAGAGAGAGAGATGTGACAGTGGAAACAGAGGCCAATAAGAGATTAGAAAATGCTATACCTTCTGACCATAAAGGTGGAGGGAGGGGCCCATCCACTAAGGCATGCAGGCAGCCTCTGTAAGGGGGAAAACAGAAGAAAACTGATTCTTCATGGAAGATTCCAGAAGGAATATAGCCCTGTTGATACCTTGATTTTAGTACTCCTCACCTCCAGAGCTTTAAGATCATTCACCTTTTTTTTCTAAGCCAGTAACTTTGGAGTAATCCATTACAGCAACAATAGGAAACTAATATGGCAAGTATCACTCATTCCAGCAGACTAGAATACCCACCAACACATCATTTCCATGATGTTACTTCTGCAAATTGGAATTTCAGAGGAGGTGGCTGCATGCACATTTTGTAGTTGAGAGGAAATATCTGATGTCTCTTCTACAGTTTCAAGCTCAGGACCATGTGTCAGCTTTCCCTCCAGCCCCTCCTATTCGCTTCTTCTTCTTCTTTTTTTTTTTTAAAGATTTCTTTCTTTCTTTCTTTCTTTCTTTCTTTCTTTCTTTCTTTCTTTCTTTCTTTCTTTCTTTCTTTCTTTCTTTCTTTCTTTCTTTCTTTCTTTCTTTCTTTCTTTCTTTCTTTCTTTCTTTCTCTCTCTCTCTCTCTCTCTCTCTCTCTCTCTCTCTCTCTCTTTCTTTCTTTCTTTCTGCACTGGGTACAGTCAGAAGCGCGGGAGGGTGAGAGAATTCACCAGAGCCAGAGCGGGGAGCAGAGCAGGCAGAAGGACCGAAGTACACTGCTGAGGGGAGCAGCGGGCGGCAGGAGAGGTCTGCGCGCCATGTGGGACCCTCCTCTGGTGGCCAGGGAGCAGCCGGGGATCGAACCGGTGCTGCAGAGGCTGCGGGCAGCCTCGCAACCCAGCGCTCAACCGCTGCGCAACCGGGGAGGCCCACCTCCTATTCTCTTCTTAAAAAGCATGACATATCATGTCATTGGCTCATTCTCCCAGTCCAGTGCTTGCCCATCATCAACAGGATAAAAGTTAAACCCCTCAGCATTGTATTCAAAGTTCTCATCCTGCATTGCCTTTCTGGATTCACCTTTCACGCCTATGCTCCAATCACATGAAGCTTCTTGCACTTCTCTGGTGTTGCTCCATGTGCGCTCATGTTCCCCCTCCCCCCACTCTTTGCTTAGACTTTTCCAGGAGGGAGGCTTACTTCCTGATCTCCACCTCTTGCATTGAGCAGAAGCACTCAGATGATCAGTGCCTCCCTTGCACCCTTTTTGTTTGCCTCATCAAATGTTTACACATTTGTCTATCACCCTAGAGTGTCAACTCCATGAGGACAGGAAAAACATCATAAATTTCTTGAAGATCTCTTTCACCTTTAACCACCACCATCTTCCCTACACACACACACACACGCACGTGCATGCGCGGCAACAGCCGGAGTCATACACAGAGTAGTCACACACAGTCACCAGTATAGTAGTGACTCAGTAGATGCTAAAAGCATGCATGTGTATTGGTGTCAAACCTGACAGAACTGGAAGGGACCAGTAACCACATTTCTCAAATCTCATCTGCATTTGAGAAAAGGTGATAATAGCCAGGATTCGGAGTTTGGAGAAACTGGGTTCAAATGCATCCCGTGACACACACTAGCTGCGTGACTTTAGACAAGGGACTGGAAACTCCCGCGCTACATTTTCCTCATTTATAAAATGGGAAGAATAGCACCTTCTCTCATAGCACTGTGTTCAGTACAATGAGAAAATATTTCCCAAATCCTTAAAACAATATCCAGCATAAAGGACATGCCACCTGTGCTAGCGCTAACCGATAGTGATGGAAGCTGAGAGTAGAAAATTTAGGATGGGGCCTCTCTGGTGGCGCAAGGGATTAAGCACCGCACTATGAAGCAATCCACAGCCTCTGCAGCATGAGTTCGATCTCTGGCCGGCCAGGGAGAAACACACATGGTGCGGCAGACCTCTCCTGTCTCGCCCACTGCTCCCCTCAGCAGTGTCTTTGGTCCATCTGCCTGTTCTGTTCCCCGCTCTGTGTCTGGTGGATTCTCTCACCCCCTGCATCTCTGGCCTGTACCCCAGCTCTTGAGTGCATAAATAAATCTTTAAAAAAAAATTTAGGATGGAAGCTTCACAAGGCCAGAAACTAAGGTGGGGGTAGAAATGATTAATGAGTCTAAACCACCCAGGGAAGATCTACAGCAAAGCCCAAACTGGAGGTGTGGACACGCAGAACTGCGGGTCATTACAAAGAACCCCTAGTCCTTACAGATCAGCCCCACCAGACCTTAGAAGTGATAGATTCCACAGCAGATAAAATTCCACAAAGGAATGAATCCCCCCCACCACCCCAAAGAACACTATGTAAAGACACCCCTTGCTCTGGCAAAAAGCAGATTTTGCCCCAAGACTGCCCTCTTGCGTCTCTGCAGGCATCTCTTTTTCTTAATAATCCTGCCCCTTTCAAAAGGCAGCTTCTTGCCCTTTACGAACTGCCCATTTGTGCTTATGCAAATGTCCTGTTTTCCTTTTCTTTCTTTAATAAACCTGCCCTTTCAAAATGCAGGCTTTGCTGGTGTGTCTATGCCAACGTCCTTTTCCTTAATAATCTTGCTGATAAAGGTTACTAACCTGCCTTAATAAACTCTGCTGATGTCTTTCTCAGAGGGAACCCCAGAACCCCATTCACTCAACCCCACTCACTTAGCATGAGTATGCTGGGGCTATTTGTATGATCAACACTTTTGCACTATAAGCCTTGTCGCTTCACCTCCTAGTGGCCTCAGTTTCCTCATTTCACCATAACAACCCTCATACTTCTCTGCTCATGTCCAGCACTACATGTTATTTAAATATGTGAAGAAATGGCTTCATCTACACATGTTTGTAAAGCATTAGGCAAATGCCAGGCAGTGCCAACATGGATCTGATGTTACTTTACCACATCCCTGTCACCAGCATGCACTTCCCCTACCCCCTCACCAAAATGCAACCGTCTAAAGAACAATGAATGATGATCATGTCTAAATAAAACGAATCACTTAAAAAACAATTGCCATTCTAAATCTTTTCCGTACCCTGTGTCTACATCACAGTGGATTTATATGAGAAGAACACCCATTTTGTGACTCGCCTAAACTTTCTTTTTAAACAGGAGATTTGACATCAGGCTCAAAACTGAGACAGGGTGGGAACTTTGTCAAGTTCAAGTCATCTCTGCAGCACCGCTGCTTTGCTGATTTTAATGAGCTGACGTCCTCCTTTTGAGACAGACTGAAGTGAACTTGGATCAGACCCTTAGTCTTGAAACAATACGTCCTACCTTTGTTGAAGTCCAAAGAGCTTTTCTATGCAAAGGCTAGTGTGTCTCTACAAACGGCATTCCGCGCATTTTCTCGGGCCCTGGGCTCCAGCCTCAGCGGGATTCCACTGCATTCTTGGCAGTCAGGCTCCTCTCCTCTGGCAGGGGGTCAGCCTGGGGCCACTGAGGTCAAGGAACCTCCACAGGCCGCCCCTGCCTCAGAGGCGGACAATGCAAGCCCCCCCCAACAGCACTTCCTGCCCGGGCAGCTGGGGACTGCCCAGCCAGCGGGCTCGGGCAGCGGAGAAGGGGACAGCGGGGTCCGCCCCAGATAGGCCGAGGAAGCAGAAGGCAACAGTCTGCACCGCTTTTTCATTGGTTTTATTTCCATACACTTTTCAATGGGTATTGGATAACACTTTTCAATTTGTACTTGTTTTTTTTTTCCTTGGAAAAGTTGCCAGGTTCCCTACAATGCGTACTGCACAGATAAATATGGAGCTAGAGCTAGGGAGAAGGGCTGCTAGCAAAAAGGCTGCAAAAAACAAATGTTGGCGAGGCTGTGGAGGAAAGAAACCCCCCCCCCACCACCACTGTGGGGATGTGACTTGGTGTAGCCTTTGTGAAAAATGATAGGAGTTCTTCGAAAAATAAAAATGGTAATGACATGGTCCAGCCATACCCCTGCTAGGTATTTACCTGAAGAAAATGAAAACACTAACACAAAAATATGGAGGCACACCTACGCTCCTTGCGCCGCTATCCGCAACAGCGGACGTACAGCCCAGGCTGTGGGCACAGCCTAAATGCCCATCCACAGATGAGCAGATGAAGAAGGGCTGGTGTGCGCACTCAGTCTCCATTTGATTTCATGTTTTCAGGACGGGGTTCCTGTGGGAAGGGGCTGGGAGGGTGATTCTTCCTTTGCAAGCCCCCCAGTAGCCCATGCTGTGGGAAGTGCAGTGAGTGAGCAGGACCTCCCCATGGTTCCAATCCCAGCTCCTCCTCAGGGTCTGGGGCCTACCCAAAGGCCGCCTGCAGGAAGGAAATGCTACGAACCATGTTTCTGTTTGGGTTGAGGGGTTGTGAGTGAGTTTCCTTTTTTCCTGATAGTCACTGTATTTTCTCATTAATTTTAGCAATGACTGTGCCTGCTCGTGTCGAGCGAGTGCCTAACAAACTCATCCTTCAAGGAGGCTTCCCCCTGAGCAGCTCGACCATGTAAAATTTCCTACTGTCAAGAGTTGGGAGCAAGCAGTTACCACTGGCTGCGAAATGGAAGGAGCTGAGAGAATTTGGTTTGGCAAAGTCAGTCAGAAAGACAAAGAAAAATTTGGGGATATTCCACATATATGAGTAAAATAAGGAATCAAGGTGGATGAACTGATGAAGCAAAATAATTCTAAACTAGCGGACCCTGGGAACTGAAATGAGGGATCTAAGGTCCAGAGGAAGGAGGGACAGGGCGGGTCATTAGGGATAGGTGGGGGCCAGGGGGAAGAAAGAAGAAATAAGTAAGAGTCGGGATAAGATTCCGGTCTACAGAGGGCCACTTTTAGAGTGTGTGTGTGTGTGTGTGTGTGTGGTGAGCAAGATTAGAGAGGGGGGTTTCACACATGACCCCATTAGCACCCACTAACTTCTGATCAGGCTTGGGTGGTCTGGTTTGTGAGTCTGGAATGTTGGCCCCTGAGGCACCAGGCCACGGGCTAGGGCAGTGGTACAGAAGGGACTGCAGAGAGTAACAGCAAAGCATATGAGCTAATACTCTGTGTGTGTGTGTGTGTGTGTGTGTGTGTGTGTGTGAGAGAGAGAGAGAGAGAGAGAGAGAGAGAGAGAGAGCGTGTTTGTCTGTCTGCTTCTCAGAGTAATAGAACAGTGATACACCAAAGAAGACAAAAGAGCTGGGAGTGAGAACACAAAGTTTTGTGGGGAAAGTTTATGGAGAAGCTGGTAGCATCAGGGCCCAGCCTTACTGCTTCGTTTGAAAAATGAGCAGGTGAGCGCGTCGTCGTCACCAGCCAGGTGTGCCTGTTGAGCAACTGAAATGTGGCTAATCTGGGTTGAGCTGTGTGGCAAACGTAGACGACACACCAGACTTCAGAGATTTAGTGTGCCCGAAAGAATGTAGGCGATCTCATTAACCCTGAATATCTTTTGAGGCATGTTGAAATGACAATATTCTGGAGCGGTTCAGTTAAGGAAAAGATCTTACTAGCATCCAGTTCACCCGTGCCTTTTTCCCTCCTGCACGTGGCTGCCGGGAGTTCGCCATGGCCCTGGTGGCACGTGGTTTCCTTTGGGCGACTTGAGGCTGCCCAGTCCTGTGGAGCTTAAACGCTCCCATTGAGAGATCGCTCAAAGCTTGGCAACCTCAAGCCTTCCATTTTTACATGCTCTTCTGCTCCTTTTAATGTAAAAATAACAGGTCTCAAGGGGAAAAAAAAGAGTCCTCTCTCTGCCTCCCCTCTCTAATCAATGTCTTCGTGTAAGAAGACATAATGTTTCTCCTGTCATTTCAAAGCCCTCTCCGCCTGCCTTGCACACTTTTCTTGGAGGCCTGGGGGTCTGCAGAGCTCAGCTTGGGAAGCGCAGGTGGTGATCTCTCAAAGGGCCCCTCTGTCTTTCTATAGGAGGCTCCTGAGTTCCTAATTGCCCCATGTCTCCTTTTGTTCTGAGGGTCTCACCTTTGCTCCCCACCCCTTAAGGTTCCCAAGGCCCTGGGAGTAGACTGGGTCAAGGAGAAAGGACAGAGACAGCCTTTCTTCCCTTTTGTAGCCCCACAGAGCCCTGCACACAGGTGCCCCATAAATACTTGTCGTCTTGAATAGCGCGGTAACCAGAACTGGGGGCCCAGCCCTCCGCTCGCAGCCGGGCAGGCTCCTGCTGCTACTAGCAGTGTGAAAAGGTTTTTCAAAATGGTCCTGCTTGAAAATTAACTAGGGAAGAAAGCCGCCTCGAATGGGCGGGGGTGGGGGGGCATGGACGTGGTCGAAAGCAAAGGAGGTGAGAGATCAATGTGGAGGCAGCACAGCCCAGAAAATCAAAGGATGCTCCATCACCAAACCAGAAAGTAACTCTTAGGGAAGTCACACACACACACACACACACACACACACACACACACACACACACACCCCATTAGCGTTAGCGAGTTAAGTCAGGATTAATCACTTGCTGAGAACATTTCACGTTTTCTCTCCCCTAACCCTGAATGAACTCTCCAGTGAACCTCACTGCATCACGTTGTATCTTTTTCCACCTTAATATTCTCTTCTAGACTAACATTTCTCATCATGCTTGACTCCCAAAGATGCCAACAGTGTCTACCTCTGGGTCACTCACCCCTTGGCAGCCCCCCAAGCTTTGGTGCAGAGGGATCCCACAACACATTCTTGAATTGAACCCTTGCAAGTTGCAAATATATATCTTTTTCCCTGGGTGGCTTGATGAGTCACGTTGAATAAGCCTCCACGTGGGGTGCAGTTAAACTGCCATCTGCAAACTGTACCATTAGCCCCTCAAGCAGTCTACTTACAACAAGGTGCCCTCCTCCAGCTCCATGCCCATCAACACACAGGAGCTGGGAGCCAGTGTCTGCTGGGGGTGGGGTTATGGGGGGATTTAAGACCCAGTGAGGGCCTTCCTGGTGGCCTAGGGGTTAAGTTTCAGTGCTATCACTGCGATAATGGCTCCACCATGGTGGCCTGAGTTAGATCCCCTGCCAGGGAGCTAACCCACATGGTTCAGCAGACTTCTCTTATCTTGCCCACTGCTCCCCTCAAGCAGTGTATTTCAGTAGATCTGCCTGTTCTGCTCCCCACTCTGTCTCTGGTGAATCCTCTCACCTCCCCCCTGCACCTCTGGCCTACTCCCCAGTTCTCTGATGCATAAATAAATCTGATATATATATATTATATAATATATATACAATAAAAGCCAGTGAATTGCTTCTGGCTACAGTTATGTCCTGACTTAATGTCATCGTCCATAGTTTCTTGCAAACGGCAAGCTAAGTGAAATATAAGGAAATATGATCATGAGATATAATGAAAGCAGGTTCTCAAATAATGTCATATATTCACATTTCATTCATATCACCTAGGATTCTTTTTTTTCCCCATAACATTATAAAGATACTACAATGAATGAAACACCATGATTCGAGGCCCTGCTGTTCAGAACGGGACTTCCCATGAGGCTCACTGAGGATACCCCTGTGTTCATGCTCCCTGGGTCAGAATGGACCTGCTTAGCTGTTCAACAGTTCTAGAAACTCTGAATTGCTGTCTTTTGGTTTAATGAGCTCTGGCCAGCTCATACTGTCCTGGCAGGTGGGAGTTTAACAGACACTCAGCTGACTCCCTGGAGGGAAACACAGTGAGATGCCTCTGAGACAGCGTGGTCCCCCCCCCACCGCCCGTGTGCAGAAAGCAAACTGAAAGCTCACAAGAAAAGCCAGGTCCCATCAGTGCACAATGATTGGACAAAGGCAGTTGTTTTTCTCCTGCGGTCAAGGGGATGTTTAATTGTGTAACGCAAGAAGTATCATGGTGTTCGTGTCACTTAAATAACTCCCATGAGTGATGTAGGGTTAAGCTTGGTCAAATTTCCAGGCAGTGGAGTGCTTCTTCTCTAATCACAGAATATGTGAGCTGGATGGGGATTTTGCTAGCAGCGGGTCTACTCTTTTCATTGCACGTGTGAAGGAACTGGAAGCCCCCAGTGAGAACCATAATTTCCTAACTCACAGTGAGCTGGTGGCACAGGCCAGGTGGGAGTCCAGCTCTCCCGGCTCAGCGAATATTTCAGAATACTTACTCTGTGTCCCCTGCTGTTGCTAGGCACTGGGGTTACAGCAGTGAATAGGGTGGCTTTGGTCTCTGCTCACCCAGAGCTTTCCATCTATTTTTTTTACTGCTTTGAAATGGAACATCTACTAATTCCGATCAAGCCTGGCAGAATATTCGGAGCCCTATTTCCATCAGCAGGTGGAAACTAAAATTAGTCCCCCTGCCCTGTGGCTTGCGCCAGGTCCCGAGCACAGGCCTGCCTGACAAGCTGCAGCCTTCCTCTCGCAACTTTCCCACCGTTCATTCATCAACAAAGATGCCTCAAAACAAATTTTTTTTAAAGAATGTATTTGTGCAAATCAGGATCAAACTCAACTTCATTCATTGTCATTGGTCAATATTTCTTTTTTTTTAAAGATTTATTTATTTATGCATACAAGAACTAGGGTGTAGAGGTGC